ATTCGCGGACGACCAGACGCCGATCGCAAGAAGTTGGGTCTCGATGCGTTGAATGCTTATCAGGCCCCGGTTTGCGCTCTCTGGAAAAGGCTTATCTTTGCAACCCAAAAAAGACAAGGTAGAAACCACCAGCATTCTGTTGTTGGGCGACGACAATGCAGCTACGCCACAGGGTTATCATTCGAAGTTCTGCCGCAAGGAAAATGCGATGGGTGACATTTCTAACGATGGACGACCCCACGGGGCTGGAAATTACAACTCGCATTGCCGACGGTTGGAGAAGTTTCTGGTCAAGTTGATGTTGCAATACGTTCAGTTTGGTAAACAAAGGGGGAGGTGTCGTCTATTCGAGAGCGCAGTCGCCGAAGGCATCTTGTGGTGTTCGGAATATTGGGCCCCAAGGGTTTCAGAATTGAGAGCAGTGTGCGTGTGTGTCTCACAACACGCCATGTTCAGGCGCATCGTGTGGTTTGCGCGCGAAATCGACGTCTGATGGGTCGATGGGGTACGAACAGCAGCTTGCAGAGCCATGCGCTCTCGGTACCGTTATCCTTCCTTCGTTATCCGGTTGATCTCTTTGGGAGCCGTCGTCGTCATTGTTGGATTCGCCGTTAAATGTTGGTGAGGATACGCCCCGGGAGAGGTCCGGGGGGTAGCGGTATTGGTACTTCTGGGTTTCCCCATGTAAGCCTATCGCTTTTCTTCCGCGGACTTTCTTCCCCGTTGCCCCTCGGCTTCTTACTCCTCCTCGCCCTTCTCCACCATCACCCTGTGGTTTCCTAAATCAGCTATGACACACCGGACATTTGTTCGAATCATGCGCTTAACGCCCCAAACAAACATCCACGCAACACACACACACACGCACGCACGCACGCACGCACACACACTGACACACACACACACACATACGCACACACGCACGCACGCACGCACGCACGCGCACGCACACACGCACACTGACACACACAGGCACACTAGCACACACACACGCACACACAAATTTACATTTACACACACATTCACACACACACACACACGCACCGACACACACACACACACACTTACACACACATACACACACACACGGGCAAACACACAAACACACACACACACACACACACACACACACACACGCACACGCACACGCACACGCACACGCACACGCACACGCACACGCACACGCACACGCACACGCACACGCACACGCACACGCACACGCACACACACACACACACACACACACACACACACACACACTTACACACAATCACATACACACAAGTACACACACACACACACGCACACACATACACACGCACGCACGCGCGCACGCGCGCACGCGTCCTCTAGGGTGCGGACGGACACCCAATCTACCTCCAACGCTTTCCTGCGTCATGTTCCTACCTACTTCCGTCCGATGGGTAAGACTCGAATGCGCCGAAGTTCGAGTTCGCCGATGTTTTTTCTTGTACGAGCGCGTCTTGGATTTTGACGGCGCAGTTTTTGGGCGAGATGTTTGCAGCGGAATTTCGCTTCCAGTGTCAGTTTGGGGCTCGTCATTTCCGTTATGGCCCCGTCAGGCCAATCCGAGTCCCCCTGAACCCGAGTCGCACGTCTCTCCGATGGTTCTAGGTCTCCCAAGTGTGGTCTGAGTAGACGGGGTCGGAGGATCGATTAGGGGAAAAAGAACTATGCACATACACCGATTCTGGCCAGGCCCATCCTGAGCCCAGGATCGGTGCATACGCCCTCCTACCTTGGCCAGGAAGGCATATGCACCGATCCTGGGTCAAAAATGGGCCTTGCCAGGATCGGTGCATGTGCATAGTTCTCTTCGCCCGATCGATATGGCGCCAAACGTTTCCACGCAGACGACGCCGACGTATTGCCTTGCGTTGCCGACGCACCGACAATGATCGGGCGAAGAGGACTATGCACATGCACCGATCCTGGCAAGGCCCATCCTTGACCCAGGATCGGTGCATATGCCTTCCTGGCCAAGGTAGGAGGGCGTATGCACCGATCCTGGCCTCAGGATGGGCCTGGCCAGAATCGGTGTATGTGCATAGTTCTTTTTCCTCTATGAGTCGACGGGGTCGGAGGATCGATACACCGCACTCACATTTATACCCCTGGGTGAGTGTATGTGCGGCCGTTTTTGCGCTGTCATGTGCGCGCATGTGCGCGGCATGTGCCAGTCATGTGCCAGGCCTGTGCGGTCCTTCTTGGATGGATTTCCTACTGTGCACGTCGTGCCCGGGCATGTGCGGGGGCATGTGCGCTGTGTTTTGATGTATCCATCATACGCACATGCACGCACAGTCCGACGCACATGCGCGCACATGCCTGCACATGCGGGAGGTGTTCGAGAATCGCAGATCTGTCATCGGCACATGCACGCACATGCCTGTGCAACCTCTCTTCGGGAGGCCGCGCGGGCCCGCACATGCACGCACATGCGGTGAAGCGCGCGGGCGCACATGCGTGCACATCCCAA